CCCTCCCACCTGCAGACCTGTCCTGCAGCCCCAGGGCTGGATGGCCACAAGAGACACACTCAGACATAGCCACCAGCCCAGGCACTGGACCATTTCATCCCCAAACAGCAAGCTGAGATGGCTTACCCTGGTGCCAACACAGGATTTGGGACAGGATGGGATCAGCATGTCTGGGGGGAAATTCCAAAAATCTGTTTCAGAAACACAAGAAACTAACAGGGCGGTCCCCCCACTCCCAAACTAGTCCAGTGAGGGAACTGAACATGCTCACCAGCCAGGGAAAGTTGAGTGTGAGTTGGAATAGCTACAAATAAATCTGGTGGTGGGAGGCAATGGAATAGACTCACCTGGAGGATAAGGCTGGCAGGCAGGACCCCTGAACAGGAGCTCCCCTGCTCTGCTTAAAGGTGAAAAGATTGTAGGAAGTTGCCTTGTATGGAGTCAGACTGCTGGTCCCTCCTGCTCAGTAGTGTCAACTTTGATGGCAGTGGCTGTCTGGGGTTTCAGCCTCTCCTGGAGATGTGACATTTGAATCTGGAACCTTCTGTGTGCAAAACTGATGCTTATCACGGAGTTAAGATTCCAGTCATGGTCCTGGATGAAGGGCTGGTTTAAAGAGGAACACAGGAAGTGGTCTTCTACCAAATGGGACTATTGGTCCACCCGGATCAGTGCCTACACTCAGTGGCGTAGCGTGGGGGGTGCAGGGGAGGCCGGCTGCACCGGGCGCAACATCTGGGGGTTAGGGTTAGGGGGCGCAAATCCACTGGTTAGGGGGCGCAAATCCACGGGTTAGGGGGCGCAAATTACTTGCCTTGCCCCGGGTGCTGACAACCCACGCTACGCCACTGCCTACACTGACTGCCAGCATCAGCTCTCCAAAATTTCACACAGGAAGCGCTCCCAGTCCTACCCGGAGATGCTGGGGACTGGATGAGAGTCAGTGGGGTGTAAGTGACCTGGGAGACCAAGGTCCGAATGCTCACTCAGCCATCAAGCTCACTGGGCTACCATGGGCCTCTCAGCTTAACCTCCCTCACAGGGCTGTTGTGGGGATTAAACAAGGATGGGGAGAACCACGTACACCACCTTGCACTCCTAGGAGAAAGGGTGGGGTACAAAAGCAATAAATAAACAGAATAAAATAAAATTGGGAGTGCCTGCGTGCAAGATGGACACATCCTTTTGACACAGGTGCCACAAGTTCAGTATTACAAAAACTTAAATCTGGAAGCTCCCAGGAGCAAGAACCTGCCTTCTGCTTATGCCAGTCTGTAAAACACCAAGTGCTGCCTAGAAACCAGTAAGATGACAGCAGGCCGTTGCTGTGCCACCGCCTTTTTAAAGCATAGGTCTCTGGATCAGGGCCTTAAACGCTCAAACCAGTCTTCTCCTGCCCCCTTTTCCTTCACAACGGCTGCTAAACCAAGAACTCGCCTCTCCACACAGATTGTTGCTCCTTAACCGGCACACCTCCCTGCCACGAACACCAAGTTCTTGACGTTTGCTTTGGCTCTTGCAGTGGGAAAACAACAACAAATGGTTGGCCTGCCAACTTCAAGGCATTGTGAGCGACACGTCAAGCCTCACCACCACTTTTGGAGCAAAACGAGACAGGGGAAACCCTGTCAGGAAGGTTGTGATTTATGGCGTTGGCTAGTTGCCCATTAAGCACCAGGTAGCAAAAGTGAGGCACAGAGCAGGCCGGTCTATCGGTATGGGCAGGGCAGTTGCTTCCAGAGATTACAGATCACCTCTCAGCACGTTCTTGCCTAGAACGAGCCACAATCTAAATCAATAAGCAGTTCTGGCCTTGCTTGGCAGCACTCTGGAGAACAGAGCCAGTTTCAGGATTGGTTTTATTTATTTTTTTGCATTTTGAAAACTTACATTTGATGCCACAAGCTTTCCTGTGCTTGTTCTCTGCTGATCTTTGTGGTTTTGCTTTAGTTCTAAATGATGTAACTCACCAGGTCCTCCAAGCAACACATGATTTGTGAGTTTCAGTTAATGCTAGGCTCCACATCTTTTTTATACCAAAGCAAAAGGCACTAAGGTTCTGCACTTTGGGGCAACTGAAGTTCTGGAAGCCACCAGCTTTCATGTAAAATGCTCCTGAGACTTGAAACTTATCACCCCATAGATTTATTAAACAAAGCTGCTGTGAAGTTGGAACGGGATGTTTTGAGTATTTTGGTCATTTATTGACAAAACATTGTCCAAAATCGGAAGACCTGTGGGCAGTCTTCACGGGGGGGTGCGGGGTGTCCACAAAAGGCAGGGGGTTACCACAAAAAAATTGAGACATTTTCCCATTGCCCTTCGGGTTGATTGAGAGCTGATTTTGCCTGTTCATTTGACTTAGCTTTTGTAAGCAAAACTTAAGCAGCATGCCACATTAATTTTACATGCTTAATTTTACAATAGCCAACAGTAAATTATACTACTGGCAAAGAGTCAGTGTGGCGTCATGGTTAGTGTATCAACTAAGGCATGAACTGGTGACCTAGGGCCAATCACTGTCACTCAGCCTAACCTACTTTACTGAGTTGTGGTTGAGGATAAAATTGAGATGGGGAGAACCACTTGCACCACCCTGAACTCCTTGGTGGAAGAAGTAAGGTCCTGCCATACAGGGCTTAGCATCTATAGATACAGGAATCCAAGGAAGAGGGAGTATTTGCTGCAAAAAAATTGATTAGTATACTTCAGTCTTCAGTCCACTGCCCAGCAAACCCCGCTGAACCCTGCAAGGCTTACTTCTGAGTAAACATGCACAGGATTGCAATTAAGAGGTTTAAATGTTATGAACAAATTCAAATTTTTATTTGGAAGTTATTGAAAATATTTGACTGGTGGTGTAGCCAGTTTGCTACTAATTTTATGAAACGTGCACTCCCCAAACCCAGGAAATTTTTAGCAGAAAATGATACCAATGGAAAATTTCCCACATCCATAGTTAAAGTCAAGGTTTGCCCAGGCAGCAAATACATCACCACAGCACAGACTTGTTCCTTTGGAACTTTGCTGCTTTCAGTCTTGATTATTGAAGAGGTTATTGATTATTATAGAACTAAATACAAAATATAGAAGAAGGCAACCAATATGATCAGGGGAGTGGACCTTCTCTGTAAGGAAATGTTACTTTGGAAGTGTTTGAGTTCATAAAACAAAAAGGGGAGCAAAAGGGGGATCATTATAGAAGTTCATAATAAAACAATACATGGTGTGAGGAAAATCCAGCCACAAACCTTTCTCTGCCTCTCAAGAACCCTAGAACTGTGAGCCATCAAATGAAGCTGATTGGCAGGAGATTCAGGATCGAAGAGTATAATTTCCTATGACACAAGGCTAACATATGGAATTCATTGCTGAGATATGACGACTGCCACTAGGCTTAGCTGGCTTTAAAGACAAGTTGGACAAGTCCATGAAACATAAGGCCATCAATGGCTTCAAGGCAGGATGGCTGCATATTCCACTTCCAGTTGCTGGGAAATGAGTACCAGAGAGTGATGTTGCCTTTATGTTCTGTTTGTGGGCTTTCCAGAGGCAAAGAGGGTGCTGGACTAGATTTGTTCTGATATTCCTATGTTGCCTGATGTGCATGCAACTGCTTAGGAGTTGGGACTGTGCAACAAAGCAGAAAAATGGGAGCATTTCCAGATAAAACAAGAAGAGTAAACTTACTTGTTTCTTTAGCAGGTTCCAGACTCCCTTCCAGCAACATCCGTTTGTGAGATCCAGAATCACATGTTCCTCAATGGCTCTCTTCTCTGCTTTCTTTGCATAAACCCATTCTCTAAAGCAGCACCTGCCCCTATTTTATTCTCACAACCATCTTGCAAGACAGATGGTTCCAAGTAGGTTTCATGTCCCAAGACTCTCCTTGGTTGGCAACTAACTTGGCCAACAGCTGTTTGAGAATGGAGGTGGCACTATTTAGCCCAAAGGAGCCTGCTAGGAAGATCCAGTGCGGTAGCTAGTGGTACCTTGGATTAAGAACTTAATTCGTTCTGGAGGTCTGTTCTTAACCTGAGGTACCACTTTAGCTAATGGGGCCTCGCGCTGCTGCACCGCAATTTCTGTTCTTAACCCGAGGTACTATTTCTGGGTTAAGGTAAAGGGACCCCTGACCATTAGGTCCAGTCGTGGCCGACTCTGGGGTTGCGGTGCTCATCTCGCTTTACTGGCCGAGGGAGCCAGCATACAGCTTCTGGGTCATGTGGCCAGCAGGACTAAGCCGCTTCTGGCAAACCAGAGCAGCGCATGGAAACGCCATTTACCTTCCCGCTGGAGCGGTACCTATTTATTTACTTGCACTTTGATGTGCTTTCGAACTGCTAGGTTGGCAGGAGCAGGGACTGAGCAACGGGAGCTCACCCCGTCGTGGGGATTTGAACCACCGACCTTCTGATCGGCAAGTCCTAAGCTCTGTGGTTTAACCCACAGTGCCACCTGTGTCCCCATTTCTGGGTTAGCAGAATCTGTAACCTGAAGTGTCTGTAACCCGAGGTACCACTGTGCTTTGTTCCTCCCACTTCCTTTGTCCTTGAGCTGACAGTTCACCAGATTTGGCCCAAGACCATAGCTCCCATTCTAGTCCCCAGTGCTGTGGAAGTGTCAGGCATCAACCAGCAGGATTCAGACAAGTGGAGGAAATTATGCTTCCATACTATACTTTCTGCCCCCTCTTCCCTTGCATGGCTCAGAGTAATTGATATGGTACTACTGTCAGCGGCCAAACATTAATCAGGTCCACATTTGCTTAGTTTCATCAATGCCATAGCATCAGCTCAAATTCCCAGAATCTCAATGGGTCCTTAGTATAGGTGCTGCTGCTGGAAGCTAGGGCAAAAAAATGCTAGAAGTGGTTTTCAGACAGCTGCATGTTCCCTACAGACTGTGAAAAAAAAATTACTAGCTAGTTTCAAAATGATCTGAATGTCTTTATAAATGAATGAATAAGAGCTGCCTTTCAAGAAACACCCACACTGGAGCACTCTTTAATAATGAAATAATTTATTTTCTAACAGTTGAACAATACAGAAGTATACATATACACAGCAAGGTCTTCTAAAACATGTAATTTCTAAAAATGCATGTGCTAACTGTAATAAAAAGCACCATTATATGGTCTTGACACAGGATTTTTATGACATGGTATTTACATTAGGAACTGAACATCTGGAAACTGAATTCCTATTTTCTCCCTATCTGCTGCTCCCCTGTTTAGGCTGCATTTTTATTTGGAAGACTCCAAAACTAATGTCAAGAGTTCAAAAGCGCAAGTGTTGTTAAGAGCACCTATTTGAGGAAAGGTCAATCAAAAGAACAGCACAAAAATAAAGCCGAACTCCTCCAGATAGGCCAAATCTTTGGGCACTTCAGAAGGGAACAGGTATGTTTCAGTAAGCATATTTAAGCCGTCAAGCAGATGGCAGCCAAACAAGCTGACTTTAAGAGTTGTCCAACCAGACCACAATATTCAAAACAAACAGGTTTGCTATAGTCAATCTTTGTACAGAGACGCAGGAGCAGGGAAAGAGATTTTGTTTGCTCAGTAGTGTGTGGGGGTGTTTTTCCTCCAAACTAAGAGTGTCACTGATTCACATAGATGTTCAAAGAGCTTCAGGTGGTCATAATGTACAAAAACCAAACACTTGCCCTAACAGAAAGAATTAATAATAATAATAATAAACCCTCTTCAAATCAAAGCAGCAAGGGAGTAAGCAACACAGTATTTGTAATCAGGGGAGCAAACATAAACTAGGTATAGAAAGCAGAATTTGTCTCAATACAGTTAAGTGTCAAAACCTGAAATTTGTTACCAAGAGGGCAAAAGGAGGACTCAGAGTCCTAATATATTGCTAGAGCTTACACCAGATGCCCAGTTCACTCTAATTAGGCAGAGAGCACTTAAAAAAACCGAACCTTCCCCATCATTCATCCCATCCTCCCAAAGAACACAGGGCTTCCTTCTAGTGGATTTGTAAGCGCTCCTGAAGAGAGAGAGCAACAAGACAAAAGAATGAGGGAGGGGGATAAGGGCGGGAGAGAAGTGCCATATTCTGAGAACAAAGTGCTAAAATGGCAGTTGGCAGAACTCAGCCTGCTAATGCCCAGAGCTCTGGAATCTTGCAAGAGGGTGGGAAAGTTTGTGGCACCTCACTGGACATCTCAAATAAGTGCTCAGCTTGAATCAAAAACAGGTATTCACACCAACCCTGGAAAAAAGTTCACAAGATGTGACTATCAGCACCTTGAAAGCTCTGCTTTATAAAAAACACAATACCATAATAAAAGTTCTGGGTGTTCAACACTCAGGAGAAAAGTTCATCAGGTACAGACAATACTTTTTAGGCTACTTCAGACTGTCACCCTGACATCCACATTTACTTCTGATCAGAAAGAGCAAAAATTTTGAATTTCCATTTCCAATCAAGTGCGCCCCACATTCGCTTCTGCGCAGGCCGTTACTGAGTGCAACAGCGTTTAGTGCGACCTTTTTAACACATGCGGCTTCCAGCTGTAAACACAGGCACAGAAACAACCCCAGTTCCCCTTTAGTAATCTTCAAAATTAATGTATCTGCAGCTTATCGAGTCATAATGCTGGTGGATCAGTGAATTCGAGAGAAAGTCTGGCTAGACCATAATGTCACACTTCTATGGCCCAGCTTATACATCACCCAAGTGACATGGTTGCCACTCGCTACCCCTGTGGTTGTTCCCACACCACCTTGGCAGTGTATGAAACTTCTGTTCATGAAGTTGAGACAGGATAGATTAGTGCAGTTATGCACCACACCAGTGCTGCCTACCTGCAAGCACAGTACAAACCTCCCTCACCCTGTTGGCAGGAATTTCTAATAATGGGAGCCATGTATGCAACTGGGCCTATTTATCCATCCTTGAAGTGGGCACAACTATCTGAGGGATGGGCTGGGTGAATAGCAAAGAGCACCACAAAGTTTGCAGCTGCTAAGGCCAGTCCTAGCCAAGAGATTTAAAGGTGTCCCTGGAGCCCACAGGACAATTTGTTTTAGATGCCCAGATGCTTCTGAAACCCCGCTCACCTCCTTAGGTTAGTTTTTTTTTTTTAACATTAGTGCATCATTTGCAAAGTTCAATTTTTCTGTACCATCCAAATTTTGAAAGGACCACATCCAAACAGTGCAAAGATTAATTACCGGTTCACAATAGGGACCAAAAAACCAAAACCCCAACCCCCCAAAACAAGAATCCCACAGTATTTTACTCAAAATACAACAGGCACAATCCACCAGGAATTTCTCCGGCTCAAAGTACACCAAAACAAAAGTGGCCACATACAACCATGGCTAAACTGCTACTTCCATGTGTGTATATATTTTTGTTGCTTTGGGAAGGAGGGAGAGAAAGAAGGGGTACTATCTAGGAGAAGTTAGAAGTGGATTGCGCCCAGTTATAATTAACTCATATAAAGGCACAACAATTAAAACGCATTAGGCCGAATCCTTAAGACTCGTTACGTCTAAAGAAAAGTATACAAATTTGTAATTCAAATTTACCCCATCAAAATGCCCCCAAAATCTGAAGTTACTTTGAACCTTAAAGTGGCAACATGGAGTTGAATTTGTGAGGCAGTTTTATGCAACTCATTAACAAATACAGAAGCTCAAAGGTCTCAGGCAAGAAACATATCGGAACAAAGGACCTCAAAGTGCAGCTACTCAACTTCTTTTAGTTTACAGGTTGGGAGCTAGCTCTCTGAAGGGTTTTCTGCTTCGATTCAAAGCCAGCTTATAAATGCAAGAAGGCCTCCAACAAATAGGAGTTCAGTGCAAGTCTGCTGGACAACTTAAAATTCCAGCCTTTTTTTTTTTTTTAAAGATAGCACACTCAAAAGAAATAGCTTTGGAGATCTTTAGCAATCCACTAGCCCCACTTCCCATCTTGAATTTTTTTCCAAAGATAGCTTTAAGCTTCTTGAAGAAATCAAATGTAATTTTCATGTTGTTTAGAACTTGTGTCCTAGTGGATTTTGGCAGCTCAGGTCATGCAAGCAAGCATGAATTACATTTTGAAGCTAAATAAGCTACATAGCCCTTTTAGAGTGAAGTGACATGAAGTTGCTTAACTGGCTCTCAGGTATCCTCTAAGTGCTTGGGGACAGCAAGCTGTATACAAATAAATATTAAAAGTCCCTGGGAGTTAATGTTCAAAGCAAAGAGAATGGGACTAAGGAAATCTCACTCAGTGGACCATGAAATACAAAGTTTCCTAAACATCTATAAAAGCTTAAAATCATAAGAATGTTATTACATTAAGTTTATATAAAAATGAATAAATACTATTCATAGACCACGTTATGTACATTTGTGTGTGCTCTAGTTAGTGGTTAGAATGCTGTTGGATGTGGGACACCAGAGACAGGGTGAGAAGCGAACAGAAAAGATAATAAAGTCAAACCTAAAATCCACATGCAAGTCACTTTTCTGAGGGCTACCAAATAATTTAAACAGGCAAAGGAGTGCTAGAATGCCAAGATGGCACCACAGAATTACTGTAATGCAGTCTCCTCAGTCATTAACTCAAAGCTAGCACAGCTAACTTTGTCACTCAGTTATTGCTGAATTTTTTTAAGTAAACAGATTGGACTAGAACCAAGTATACAAATGAGGCATAATTCTTTTGTGCTAAAGGGATCGAGATCAGCTTTGTTCATCTCTCTGAGGTAGAAAGAATTGTCCCAGAGACAAGAAGGACTTAGCTAGAACTGCTGCTAGGAACAAAAGGTAAATGCAGCTATCAATGCAAAGACATCATCATAAAGATTGCACTGGAGTAGTTTAAAGTACCATTTGGTCTTTTGACACCAAAGATAATTGAGATGTCTTTAAGTAAAGGCATCCTACCAAGGTAATGAGCTAATAGTGAAAAGAACCCCACCCCATCAAGAGCCTACTGCACAATCCTATTCCTACTATATTTCTGCCAAAGTTAGTTTTAGTCTGCCAGTTGCCTGTCTCAATCCTCGCCCTCTGGGACTACTGATGAGAAGGTGGCTCAGTGCTTACAAACCAAATGGAGCTTTGATTCAGTACTGGCAGGAGTGTCTCAGAGATTACTACATTACAACTACAATGACTTGGGACACTTCAGAATAACTTCTGAACAGTGGCTGGGACATTTCACTGCACAATTCCCTCACAGAAACTTGCAATGCTTCGTAAGTATGCTCTCCCAATTACCAGCTCTGAATGACAGAAACCACGAGTTCTTCCTATAGAGGTCATGTTTGAGGAATAGTGGCTAGTCTGGCTGTTTCGGACACCTTATATTATGCTCTCCCCTCCTCCCACCCCTATAGTGAAAAAGTTAATCTTGAACATTAAGCAACAGCAGCACAGGCAAAAAGTGTAAGTTGCTATTACTGCAACAATATTATTGGGTGCTTAGAAATTTGGTAGGAATGTTCAGTCTCATAGAGATGAGTTTACTGACAGAAAAGGGAAGCTAGTGGATGCCATCAGATGTGTGCTCCAGAGAGTAGCTTGTAACCCACAACCCTATGCACTGTTTTCAGACTTAGGCAAAGCAGATTTTGGTAATGTTGGTGGCACAAGAAGTTTACGTGCAAGAGAATTGTGGGACGGTCCAACATACTACCTAGTAAGATCCAACAAGGAAACAGCAATGGATGGAAAGAAAGCTACTGGCTCCTTATAGGCTGAGACAAGCCTTGAGATTGTTCTGCAGCTTTATTCTCTTAATGCCGGCGCTCGAATAGCCCTCATCACTGCAGACACTCTGCAAGCTTCCCCTTTCGTCCAAATCACTTGGGCTGCTGCTGCTGCTCCAGTCTAGGTCCCCTGTTAGGTAGTCTGTGCTTTCCACATCCACATCGATTTCTTCTGCAAAAGAAATGCAATGTTACTTGGGTAACTCAGACAGCATTCACTTCCTAACAATGCAATTCCTATTTGGTCATGGAAGCAGGGACCCAACTCAACACCACCAGTACACACCTCTGTCTGAATCGGATCGATCAGAAGAAACAGTAGATCCTATACTGTCCATTCTTATTCGCTCAATACCCAGTTTCTCCAGCTGCCTTTTCAGGTGCCGCTGTTCTCGTTGCAACTGATCTATTTGGTGTACTGCTTTTCTGTCATAGTCTTCAAGTTTCTGTAGAACAAAACAGGTGTAGTATGATTCTTGTGCATTATGTGCAAAAGATAAAAGCCATTATATCAATTTATTATTATTTGCATATGAAAGTATGTCTAATGGCACTTCCCAAGCAATTTTAAGGCCTTGTATAAAATCATGTGGACCCTTCATCAGTGATGCGCAGGCATTGTCTTTGGCACCTGCTCATCAAGATTTACCTTCAAGTGCCTGCCAAGACTTAATGTCTGTATGTATTCTTCCAATGTGGTACAATGCTGACTCAAAGATTATGATGTTTGGTCCTTTCTCGTACCATGATGAAGCAGCCCTCTTCATTAGCGAGGAAACAATGTTCTTTAGGAATATGGCGTTATTTACTCCCTATCTCAGTTCCATGATATATTTGACAAACATGAAGTAATGAGCTTTTTTACATGGAGCTCTAGAGCACATCCGCTTCAACTCACCTTGATGTGCAATTTAGCTTTTGTAAGTAAACTTAGCGTGGTATGCCTACTGGATTCCGGTCCAAGAGGCACCAGCCCTTTGAGCTTCTCCAGACACAGTCGCAGATGAGCACGTCTGTTAACCAAGATACACACAGGTTGTTATGAGTGTAAGATCAACGTTCTGGAAACATTCATCATGGGTACTTCTCTATTATATAACTAAGGAACTAGGATAAGTAATCATGAAGCTTAGAAAAGAGATGAAAAGCATGTTCATCACTGTCTCAGGCCATTCTGAATTAGGTCTTTTGAAAGTTGGCTATGCCTCATTCAATACCCATTCTAAATGTCTAAAACAGGGTAAAGAACTGCCAGGCCATAGTGGGTAAGCCAAACTCTTCTGTCCTATGTCCAATGTGGGGCAGTAATATTGAGGCTGGGTCAAAAAAGGGATTTACAGGTAGCTTTGAAGCTCAACCGCCAGCTGATTGTCAGGGCTTCAAAGTGCGGCACAAGACTCGTTTCAAGGTCCAACCACCTGCTGAGATCAGCTGCACTAGGGAGTTAAGATTCAGTTTCCTACCTGTAGTTTAAATGTACTTTGATGTAACATATGCCATGAAGCTAGTCAATCTCAAAATAAAATACACCACAAAGTCATAAAGTGATGCAATTATAATTACACAACACAAGATACCCACACATTTTAATTAAAACTAATTCCAGTTTTACCTTACCCAGTAATGTAGCAAAATTAGTTTCAGAGATAACTAACCACCACTCATAAGTTGATCACCAGCATTTTAACTAGCTGTTGGAGACCTTGAGCTTTTCCATGTAATACTCTGTTTAGCTTTAGAATTTTTCAACTAAAGGCAAAAGCCTTTAAACTGAATAGTTTTAGTAAGCCTATTCATTAACTGTTGTCATTTTTTTGCAGATACCCCCACACAACATTCAAGCCTACTGGACTACTGGCACGTCTAACCAAGTACTATCTATTCTGACCATAAGCAGTTCACAAAGGTCTCTTTCCTGGTCCTACAACCTTTTAAATTCCCAGCTTCTGTGTGTACCCTTTTTCTGCTACTCTTCCTTCCTTTTCCTTGCCTCTTCCCTTCAGCTCAGTCCTTCTCCATTCCTTAACCACATGGGACGAAAGAGAAAACAGATTTTTTAAACAAATTCACTCTAGCCTTCTATTCGGCTCAGGACTGATGACAAAATAAACAGTATGTGTATGAAGCAAGGGTGGGGGAGCTTTTTAGACTGGTGGGCCAGATTCCTCTATTTCCACACCTCCATGCACCAACATTGACAGGTGAGCAGATGCAGGTAGGTTGTTGCATCCATATGGTTGTCAGGCACTTGGGAACTGCAGCATAGAGGCCTTTGCTTCCCAGGCACTGAGCATACAGCTGGCAAAGTTGCTTTCTGCAAAAATTGGCTGCACAGCTGAGTTCTGCACAGGGAACTCTGCTGAACAGCTGATCCAACAAGCTTGAACTTCAACCCTGTTTTATGTTTCCCCTGATTTAGGCAGGGATCAGCTGCACAATAGGGTTCTCTATAGGGGAACTTGGTTGTGCTGCCAACCCGTCACATATGACATCAGGTGTGCAGCAGATGGGCGTGGTTTGGGGGAAAACAGCTTAACAGGTCAAAATGGAATCCATGCTGGACCAAATTCAGCCAGTGGGCTGAAGGCTCCCTACTGATGTTTTAAATACCAGCTTGGAAAGAAAATAGTTCATGAAAGGAAATAAGGCTGGAAGAAACTCCCAGAGCACATTTCTCTGGAGGAAGTATATGGTTATGGTCTTTTTTTTTTTTACGCTGGTATTAAAAAGGAATTCCTGTCAGGCTGTACAAATGAAGCCCTTTGCAGAGGTGGGTGAAAAGAACAGAGAGCCTGCCTAAGGTAAGGGGAGAGTTGCATGGAACAGCCTTTTGGTGAAAGCCAGGAGCTGGGAAAACACAGTCCTGAAAGTTTTTGCTGAGGGAGATGGTGCTCTTTATGCTTACAAAATTATTGGGATTAGTCTTTACTTTTCAAACAAAAAAAGTGCTGGGAGTTAGGACTGTGGGGACAATAGGCCCTCCTCCTTCAAGTCAAACTGCCACATACTTAGGGGCATTTTTAATACAACAATAAAAATAAAGAAAACAAATATTCCCACAGGTTAGTAAAAATAATTGGTGGCTTACAAGCTGATCTGCCATTTGTAGAGCCCAGGTTGCAGCAATTACAATTTGCCCTCAATTAGTCCTATGCAATCCTAAGTATATTTACTAAGTATACAAAAGTACTCTTAAGACCAGCACGGAACAGTATATATTTAATAAGCAAGAACTATGTTGTGAACCAGAATTTCATTGACACAACAAGGAAAGTTTCAGAAGTTCTTCAAATACAGTCTAGGTCAGGAGTAGCCAATGTGATGCCTTCCAGATGTAATTGCAATGACATCAAATCAATAAAGCAACAATAAAGTATTGCATTTTCAAAAAGAGCACTGATAAAATTTCCTTTCCCCCCTATACAGATGGATAACCATAACATTTTATTTGGCTGCCAGAATTTTAACTGTTTAAGCCAGATGAGTCATAGTGCTTCCATTTTCAAAGCACTACACTGACTTCCTAGTTGTTTCCAATTCAAGGAATTCCCTTTAAAGCTCTAAGTGCCTTCAGACCCAAATGCCTATAGGACAATGCCTTGAGATCCTTGGCAGACGGCCTTCTTCCTTAGTGAAAGCGTATTATGTATGCACTAAGGACAGGGTAGTTTCTGTGCTGGTACCACACTCATCTCCTCAGGGAGATACGACTCGTGTTGGCATTACTATTTTTGGCATTACAGTGGTGCCTCGCAAGACGAAATTAATTTGTTCCGCGAGTTTTGTCGTCTTGCGATTTTTTCGTCTTTCGAAGCACGGTGTCGGGTAAGTTTTGAAAAAGCTTCAAAAATCACCAAAGTCTTTAAAAACCTCAAAAAAGGCTACCACACCGCGTTCTATGAGTTGCTCCTCGAAGTCAAGTCGCAACTGTATTAACGGTGTTAAGAAAAAAAAAAACTTGCAAGACGTTTCCGTCTTGCGAAGCAAGCCCATAGGGAAAATCGTCTTGCGAAGCAGCTCAAAAAACAAAAAACCCTTTCGTCTAGCGAGTTTTTCGTCTTGCGAGGCATTCGTCTTGCGGGGCACCACTGTACTATCTTTTCAGCACCAGTTTAACATATATTTGCTCAGGAGTTTGAAAGGCTTGTTGTCCCAGTCTTCTTTTACTTTTTACAGTTCTCTTTGCTTCTCAATCTTTAAATCACTTGACAGATGTTTTATTGTATTTGTTTTATTATATTAATTATTATGTTCACTGTATGCTCCCTGGAATCCCTTGAAAGGCAGCCTACAGCTATTGTTAAAATAAAACAGACAATAAACACTATTTACTTGGTTATGTTGCAAGCAGTCTTCACAAATGCAACCTTGCTATTTGTAGACATGCTGTAAACACATTTAAAATTTAAACACTTAATTTTCATTTATTCCATGGAAGAAAATAAAACACGTGCTTAACTTTTGTTATTGAATTTAAGTGTACAAAGTGCTTAACCATGACTAAATCATGCCCACATCATTTTAAATTGTAGTTCCTAAGATATCTTATCGGATCATGAGATTTACAGGCTGAGCTGGTGGAATTTCCCTGCTTCACTTTCTGTAATTTCCTTGGTAAATATTATGGGAGGCAATTTACTAAGCACTGCTGAACGAGTTTTCTATAGAAAATGATTTACAACACACCTAATTTGGAACACAGACAAATGTTTACATGTTGTAGGCTACATTTACTAAAAAGGCCCAAACTGCTCTACAGTAAATGGCCTGAAGGACAACAGGGAATTTTTCCTAAAACATTTTCTTCCTGGAAATCCAGTTCATGCTAACAATGATCAAAAGCTGAACATTTAAAACACAATGTATTGTTTCAATTCTATAATTTAAAAGATTGAAGATGTGCAGCCATTTAAATTCACTTTAGGTGCAAAGTGTTGCAGCATGTTTAATCCCTTGTTGAAAGCGCCTGTGTAAAAACACAGAATGATTTTTTGTCTGTGTAAAAAAATTATTTCATTCTTAAATGAAGTAGAAAAATGTCAAAATGAAGCCCATGGTGCATTTTAGAGAAATAGTAATAAGTAGTTTCCTATTTTCTAAGTTTCATTACCTTCTTACCCATTAACTCATCATTTGCCATATCCCAAATTAAGCTCCAGTTCTTACAAAAGATATGCAGCTAATTCCTAAAATGTTTCAGGAGAGGTTGTACCAAGATCCTTTTCTATATAACATAGGAATTAATTTAACATTCCAGCCTCACATGGTAATCAGTCACATGGTAAGTCTACCACACCACTCTACCACACCAATAAAACCATCTCAATTAAGCCACAACACTGTGACTAAGGTACACCTAGTAAGTGCCTCCAAAGAGTACTCTAGATGTCCTATTGGTGCCAACCCAGTTAAAGCAGCAATCACATGTATGGATGCCAAATTGGCCTTAAACTTAGTCCTCACTTCAATATGATCCTTTGAACAGGTTATTGACTTTATAAATCAGTATTCCCCACATTCATTTACTAGTCTGAGAACTGTATGCAAGAAAAGTGGCAACAGGCAACCACGAACTAGTCCCTGCGGTGAAAGCCTTTTGAAGTACTGTGTGCCAGCTGGGAAATACAGACTGCAGACCCCCACTAGCACATGTGGCTGGAATGAAATCACACAGTTCCTCAGCAAACATCACTGGAGCAATAGTCCCTTTCTGAAGACCACGGAGGAGTAAAGCTGCTGAGAAGTTTTTCCTTCAGCAATATTTTTTCTGAGACTTTGTCATTTGGAGAACCATCACTACCAACGTAGTTATTTTCATAACAGACCCAATTACCTAAAGGCACTCAAACATAGAAAGGCGGAAGGACAGTTTTCAGAATCATTTCAATGTGGTTTGAGAATTCTGATTATAGTGGGGTGATTTAATGCATATGGCAAATAGAATGGCCCAAAGACAGTGCACGTGAGATTTTGCATTAAAGCCTTTCCACTCAGCAGCTCTTGCCACATGCACAATTCTGTATACAGTCGTACCTCCTTTTGTGTCTGGGATCCGTTCCAGAGCCCTGGATGCTTGACAAAGCGCTGCTCTGCACATGCGCGAAGCACGATTTAGTGCTTCTGAACGTGTGTGAGCGGCAAACCCGGAAGTAACCTGTTTCAGTACTTCTGGGTTTGCCACGGACGTTCGACGAAATGGACCCTAAACGGGGCAGACTCAACAGAAGGTATGACTGTACTTCAAGCCACCACCCAGAAAAAAACAGCTTCCCCAAACTGAATTTTTAAGCTAAAAACACTGCTTTGATTCACCTCATCAAATTACTATAAAATGTAAGATGCGACTACTGCTGTGATTAATAAAAATTTATAATGTCCATTTGAAGACTCACCTGTTCTTTTCCATTTCGTTGTGTGTTGATCTAAATAGAGAAAGAGGGAATTAATGTAACCATTTACACTTGTCAACCATGGAGTAAACATACCTTTGCAGGTTTCAAACCACTGTCAACAAGATGCAACTCTGTTTGTAACTGAATCCCAGGTCAGTAGGGATCTCAAACCAGGGACCACAGTTGCATTATGAATAAGATACAATCATGCCTGCCCATTCCATGGATCTCACCATAAGGCGTGGCAAAATAATCTACTGAATGAATCACAACCACTTATTTTGCAAGACCCACAGTCTTTCTGAATCCAACTATACCCCAGAATACAGATTAAGAAAGAAATTTCCTGGACTATTTTAAAAGTCTTTCCTCCTCCTGTCCTGGGGTGGGGAACCGTTGCTTTTAAGAGCGAGAAAAAAACTTTCCAGGAGAACTCGATAACATTTGATTACAACTAAAAAAAAATGCACATATTTAACCCATCCAAGTTACATGACTGCTCCTCTTAAAGCTTTTGAAGAACTTGTGAATGATTTTGGATAACTTACCCAACATAATCATCACCATAATTTCATTTAAATAAGTATGTGAGAAGAGAACATATTATATACACTCTGCACATGATGTACTCATGAAGACAAAACTGCTAATGCACAACAAAAACATATTGCACAAACCCATGTATGTGGCCGTCAGTTGACACCCCCATGTGCCAAATCCTGGGGAAGACTGTTGTGTTTACTCGCATGAGAGGCTAGAAAAGTATTTCTTAAGTAGAAACCTTTGTTTTTAGTATGTTCTTTTTATTATTATAAACATTACATTGCAATTAAATAAAGGAAGAATAGAAATTAAAAAAACAACACATGCAACAACAAATTAGAAGGGACAGCTGAATGAGACTCCAGAAGATTCCTAGCTCAGGTTAGGTTAGAGTGTGGGTCAACTTGGTTAGAGTGTGTGCTGATAATGCCAAGGCTGCAGGTTCAATTCCCATATGGGATAGCTGCATATTCCTGCATTGCAGGGGGTTGGACTAAATGATCCTCAGGGTCCCTTCCAACTCTACAATTCTAAATCTTCCATATCTGATGCAACTGATGATCTAGCACCTAAATCGAGTGGTATGCACACTTTCAAAGTAAAGTTCCACTACACACTCATCTTTAAAGCAGGAAAATAGGCTTACATGAAAATCATTGGAGGAAGAACCTATAAACTGAACTGATTAGCTTGCCAGAGACTCCTGAACTATATTTGAGCATTTATTTTACTTGTCCCAACATAATTTTATACAAACTATACACTTCCCTGGAGAACTATATCTAATGTAAGGTTCACATTAAAAGGTAAACTAATAAAGCTGGGGCAAGGGGGAAGAAGAGTTAACACTGAAACTTCATCTTCCACTTTCCATACCATTCCCAAATGGCAGAACATCATGTACTTATCTCAAGACCACTAACCACTGGCACAGCAGGGTAATTTAAGGATAAAGCTTTAACTGGGTACTTCCTGCTTCTAAGGCATGCAATGACATAAAGGCAGCCTGAATCTCCAGATATGTAAACAGAAAACTAAAACAAATGTTAGCAAGCCAATGGTTAAATCAACTGGGCCTTAAAAAAGATTATCATACTTCAATAAGAACTTCTGAAATGAGAGTTGCCATATTTTGAAGAGCAAAAAAGAGGACACATTTGCCGACTTCTACTTTTATCACTATGACAACTCTCATTTTACATACCCATGAAAAGGACATATGGCAGTCCTAAACTGCCCAATTCATCAATGTCCAAGGAACTTAAATCTGCCATTATCTAGCAGAATTGTAATAGAGTAATATGTTTTTGTTCCAACAGACTTTGGCTTTCTACACCAAGATGTTATAATACTGACACTGTTATAATACTGACCCTCACTGTTAAGATTATTTTATCTGCTATCATTAACTGTTTTGCTTTTCTATATTTTATATGGTTATTTTGACATGCTGCAAGTCACCCTGATTGCTGTTTTAGGGATAAAGGATAGGACATAAATATGCCTAATAAACACATCTTGTATTATATAGCAGTCTTGAATACTTACTACAAATACCCCATAGGCAGATAGTCATTTTGTGCACAAAATTAAGGAACTGATGCAAAAACCTCGATCCATATGATTGCATTTAATGCAAGAGAAGCAGCATATTTATGCAGAAGTAAACCCCATTTCAACAACAGCATTTACTCTTTAATAATTGTGCTCAGGATTATAACAAGTGTGGGGAAACTCTGGTCTCCTAAACTACAGCTGCCATCATTCCTGGCTATTGACCATACTTTCTAGGCCTGATGGAAGTTGGGAGTTCTGAAACATTTGGAGGGCCAAAAGTGCCTCACCCCTGGATTACAGCTGTTAATGTGTTTTCAAATTTCACTGGCTTCAAATAAGCACTCTTCCAAATCCATTCTAAATTTCTTAGAAGACTTGGCTTCCTGAAATCTAAACTGGCACTGAAATGTGTGTGGCATTTCCTGCAAATTTAAATTGAGTATTTAGACTGATTAAGTGCCTTTTTTTCTAAAACGTGTCTCAAAATCCTTAGAATGAAGCACACCCAACTCAAGATGAAGGATGTTTTAAATTTGAATTTAATTTAAATTTTTGACAAATACTTCTTCAGATATTCCAACTGCAGCATTACAGTACAGTATATTGGTTCAGAGGCCAGTGTAAACATTGACAGGAAACAAAAGTGAAACTGTCATGCCCTTTTGATCACAAACATGAAAACTTTTAGACAATACAATCTACATCTTGACTTAAACTGTAATCCTAACCCTGTCTACTCAGAAGGAAATCCTAATTAACTCTATGGGGCTTACTCCCAGGCAAGTAGGGTTAGGACTACAGCTTAACCTTTTAATTAAGGCTAATATCCTTGTAATTAGCACGTGCCCAATGTACTCATCATGCCTCTGCTGTAGTTGCTTTGGAAGTGACTGAGTTATGTGCATGGCTCACCCTGCAAGACAAAGGCAGAACACTCAGGTTTTCCTTACCTGCTACTACTACTATTTTTCTTAGATTTGTTTCTTCGTTTTAAGGCATCTCTATCCTTGCTGCTGTAGGGTAACATGGAAGCATAGCCATGCTCAGCTTCTGTGGGGGAAACAATTATTCATCCCATTATTAACTCATAGCAAAACAAAACAACTCATTTAAGTTCACTGGCAGATATAACTAAATACTTCATCTCCTGACATTCAGTGCATGTTCTCCTTCAAATTAATCCCATCCACAGGATTTCACATGCCATGAAAGCTGAATTCAAAACACCCCGCACTCACAAATTCATTAGATGGCTAGCCTCAGTCAAGTCTGTATTCTCTTTGTCTCAGCATTCTTAAGTGCAATATGTTAACATCTTATCTTACAAGCCTGGTATAAAGAATACAGAAATAGTGTACAGGAAGTACTGGTACTTTGAATGCTTGAAATGCACCAATTATTATGATGCTGAATCAATAATGTCTCAGTTGTGGGTGGGGGTGACAAGAGATTATGAACACTTGAGCACATTGATACTCCCCCCCCCTTTCCCAGAGAAGATGTAACAGAGTTTTGTAAAGGCTATTTGGAATCTACAAATGGGCAATGCCTTCAGACTCAGGCAAGGGTACAGCAGCTTTCCATCTCGACAGTTTCAGCACTTGACCTCGATCGTCATGGCCGCTCCATTTCCTTCTACAGTTCAGGCCCCCATTAGGGTTAAAAGCGGAGCGAGTGGGTGAGGAATTGCAGGGCACACCCCAACAACAGGGCACGCTCCCCAAAAATGAATTTATTTGTGTGTGCCGGCTTCAGCCGCTTTATTTATTTATTTGTCGCCATGGATGTTCTTGTTCAATACCTTCGAGAGGCTTTGTCACACATTATTAAATGGGGTAAAATACAAGGGGCGCGCGATTTATCCACACGATCGGAAGCGGGGCGCGTGGTAGATTTTTATAGCCCCACAACCCCCCCCCCATGTGGGAAGAGGCGGCGGCGGCTGGGAGGGAAGGAGGGAGGAGCGAGCGAGCAAGAGAAAAGGCAAAGCTGGATCAGAAGGGAGTCCGGGGCTCCCTCCCTAGTGAACAGGCTCAGAAGAAAGGAAATCTGCGGAGGAGGAGGAGGAAGCAGCCAGGCCATTCGCCCCCCCCCTCCCCCCGCGCTCGCCTTTCGGGCTTATTTTTAGCCCCCTCCTCCTCGCGCGGCGGAGCCTTTCCGGCGGTTCCCATTTTCGCTTTAAAGGCCCGAGTTGTTTACTCTTTTCCTCAGGGGGGATGGGAAGAAGGGAAGGCGGAGATGGTGCCGGAGGAGGGAGGGAGAAGCGGAGAACAACACACGTACTAATAACAACGCGGAAGGAAGGGGGGGTCGGCGTCGCCCCTCCCCCTCCTTCTCCAGCCTCCTCTCCCGAGAGGAGCGAGGGCAACAAAAAAGCAACGGCGGCGGAGGAAGCCTCGCTCTCCCTCAGCGCGGCCCGAGCCCCCCGCCGCCAGACGGGAGAGCGAGCGAGCGAGCGGTGAAGGCGACAGGCCCCGAGAGAACCTCGGCCGGCCGGCCGGCAGGCCTACCTCGCTCCCTCCGCTCCAGGAACTCGGCCGCCTCCAGCAGCATCTGGATGTTTTCGCACACTTGGGCGGCCGCCGCCATTTTGCCGGCTGCTTGGTCCTGCCGCCGCCGGAGCCCTCGACGCCGACGACACCGCCACCGAGTCAGCCGCAGCAGCCAGGACTCTCTCCTTCCGCCGCCTCCGTCCAGCGCCCGGAGCCCGACTGTGTGTGTTTACCCCACCTCGCAGCCTGACAGACTCGCCGCAACCAACCCCTCCCTCCGCAGCCCAACCCGCTGCCCACGGAGCGCGGCGCCCATTGGGCGCCCGTGGCCCGGCTCCGCCCCTGCCGCTGCCCGATTGGCCCTCAGCTAGGCAGAGTGGAAAGGGGAAAAATAAGCGGCCAGCCACGCCCTGCTCGCTGGGCATTGGCCGCCTCTGCGCCTGAGCCCGCCTTCATCTAGGCCGAGGTTTCCCGCCTCTGGTTGGCTCGCCGAGCCGAAATGGCCGCCCCTAATTCAGATCTAGTGTCTAATTGGACAAGCCTTAGAGGCACGTCCCCCTACGACGGTGCTATAGCAGCGCCTTTCCTTTGCACGGGCGCCCCATTGGTCAGGGCTACCAAAATGACGTCTTACGCTAACTCTCGTAGGCCCAATCCAGGACCTGCTCGGCCTTCTAACCCCGTTCGAGCCTTCCTTTTTGATTGGTCAGCGCTGCCCATGGCCCCCTCCCCTTCGCTTACTGTGTTGACTTCTAGCGTTCCGCCCCGCCCACTAGCCACGCGTCTTTGCCATTATTTCTTGTCCAATCAGTTTTGGGAAGGAGGCGGAGGGGGCTCTCTGAGGCCCAGGCCTAGTTAGCTCCGCTGGCTAGAGCAGAGGAAGGCCTAAAGCCTAGGCTTGGTGCAAGGAGGCGGCGAGCGTGGCAGGCACAGGCACTGCGAGGAGAAGGCGGCGGCGGCATTTGTGTTTGTGTAGGTGGTCAAAACAAGGCAGTCTCTGCCCCTGCAGGCTTACAGTCTCTTTATTTTGATTGAGAGAGAGACGGAAAACGCAGGAGGAAAACAAAAACTCACTCACTATTTTCTGAACAGTGGTTCCTATACTGACAAGCTTGCCCAGTTCAGGGAGCGCCAGGAGGAGGTGCCTGATGGAGCTGAGCCTCCTGCAAAGCTGATGGAATGAGGCTTTTGCTCCCTACCTCTCCCACTGGGACAGCCTGATGGAATTGCTGCCACCAGGTGACAGTTGAGGGGGGAGAAGGCCTGGTGGAGCTCCCCCTTCCACCACATAGCCCTTTGCCTCGTAAAAAGAAAAGGCAGCCACCTTGAGTACCCAAGACATCAGTTATATTAGGGCATTCTACTTTTGCTGGATCAGGTTGGCACCCCATCTAGCCCAGCATCCTGTATTAATATATATATCACCACCATCTATATCCTCACCTTCTCTCCAAACACTCAAAGCAGCTTACAGATAGAATAGAAAAAGCTAAAAACATAGAAAATAAATCATTTAAAAGTATTTAAACACTGAGAATTAATATATATACCAAAATATCTATTAAAAGTATAGACAACAATACTAACACTAAAAACCAAAACCAAAAAATACCCAGTCCTGTACTTACAGTGGCCAACTGGGTGCCTGTGGTAAACCATGTATGTGAAATTAAGATTGTTTTTAAACCTGACATACTTTATTATTATTATTACTACCATCATTGTCATATATCCTTCCTTTCATCAAGACTGGGACTCAAGGTGGCTTACAAAAATTAAAACAAATATAAAATACAAAAGCTAAAGACAAATAAAAGCTAATAGTTAAAATTAAACTCCAGCAAAATAAAAACAATATAAAAAATAATCCATTACATATAAAAGCAGCAATGCACTATCAGAAGCCCTTTTCTTAAAGAACAAGTCAGTCCACAGAGGCCTGCTGAAATAAAACAGTCTTCTACCAGTGTAAGTTCCAAAGTCTGGCAGCAGACCTCCATATCCCCACCCTGCTTGTGAGGGTGGTGGGACCAAGAGAATGGCCTCCGCTGAAGGTCTGAGCCCAGCAAGTTTGTATGGAAGACAGACATTCATACAGGGAACAACTGTTTTGTGCATGTTCAAAGCACATGGAACCGTGCATGCAAATACCATCCTCAGATCAGGAAGAGGGTGCAATGGGCGCGTAACAGGGCAGGTTTATGCACACTCCACTAATGCGCGCAATAACCTGGAAAGCAACCTCAGCACAAATCAAGGGTTGCCTGCATAAGCATTTGCCATTTTACTGCCCATTCACTCAGTTTTGAGGTCCTTTTGGAGCTCTTCACAATCTTTTGTTTTAATCACTCTGAACATTTTGGTGTCATCAGCAAACTTGGCCACCACAATTCTCACCCTCACCTCTGGATCCTTCATGAACAAGTTAAAAAGCACAGGTCCCAAAAATGATCCATGGAAGATGTAAGATGAAGTGGCAGCCTCTACAAAAAAACAGTTATAACCTCAAAACTACCTGGGGGTACAACAGCCTTCCAGGAAATTCTGTAAGTGACCTTAAGGTAACCCAAAAGAGAGCAAAGGAACCTCCATCAAAGACCACACAAAACTGCTGGGTCGGGTAAGGAGTTCAGTATTATCACTTGGGACTGACTTCAGGCAAAGCATTTTCTTAAACTTAACTACAGGCAACATGTGCATGCGCACATTGTTTCTGGACCCAGAAAGGGCATAAGGGGGTGGGGGCTTATGCACACAATGACCCAGAATGCAACCCCCACGCAAATCAGGGGTTGCCTGTACATGTCTTGGCTTACTGATGCCAGGGTGCCTGTGTCATGACCAACAACCATTTTGTGAATGAGAACTTACCTTTTCCCTCAACCCCACTGCTTACAACTCCCATCACATCACCTTATGTAGCCTGTAACACAGTGTATTGCATGCATCTGAAGAAGTAGACCGTAGTGCACAAAAACCCATACCATAGTAAATGAATCTCAAGGGTCTTTCTCTGTAAGCTAGGAGGGATGGGGAACCTCTCTTAGGCACATCACACAGCCTCATTCCCTTCCTGGGCCTACATGCCAGAGGCAAAAGTTAGTGGAGCAAAAAGTGTGCAGTGCACATTAGTACAGTAGACTAGTCACTGCACACCCAGTATCCTCTGTGCAGGCAAACAAGCAAGATTGGACTTGAAGGATACATTCCCTTCAGAGTCCAACGCAGGGCTACGAGGGGCGTGGCATGAGGAGGACCAGATAGAGAAGCTGCATTTCACCACTCTGCCCTATGATCTGAGGTTCCCCATAGCTACCCTAAGAAGCAAACCTTTGAGGACAGTCTCTAAGAGGGCCAGAGAATGTCTGTATGTAGGAGACAAAAAGTAAGGAACTTAATACACTGCTAAGAAAACTATGGACTACATTTGAGCTTGTTTACCTGCATCAAGTATGACAACTGCATAATCCAAAGGTTGCCAGAATTTAGTTACTGAACACAGAATTAAAAAACTGGTCACCAATGCCTAATGTGTCATTACAGAGTCACAGGAGTGCCAACTTCGCCCCGCAACTGTGAGTGCCCAGGGCCGTGGGTGCCATGCAGCGTGCATGGCCCTGGCACTGAAATTTGTGGGTGCCCAGCCCCTTCATAGGGAATTTTGTGGGTGCTTGGGCACCCAGGGCCCCAGGGAGTTGGCACCTATGCAGAGTCATGTCCCTGCTTTGTTTTTGAAATTGAAAGCAGTAGATGTAGCTTATTAAAAATTAATTCTGCCTGTTTGTTTTTCTATAAAATGTCTGTCCTACTCAGTTTTTACTTGCTCACTCTAGAAGCAGTCTCTAACATTTATTAACAGGTGCCAAATCGGATGTTACTCTAATCCTAGCCAAACGTTTTAGACAAATCAGAGTGTCTTGCGGGGTCCCCCTTTGCTTTAAACACTTTGTTTGCAATGACAAATGTGTTAGGTGGGATGGATGGGGTTGTAGGTGGCTGAGAGAATACACTTCGAAGGAGACACAACACAACACCACATCTCCCACAGCATGATCATATGGGTGCTTACTCCAGAAGTCATTCCCATTGTACCAGGGAGTTTACATGAACATAAGCATCAGATTTTAATTCCAGTGCTACAAATGTTGACCTCATTTTGATATTAGATTCTTGCTGGAGGCTTGTCATTATTTACTTTGGATTGATGCAGAAACCTTTATTTATATGACCTCACCAATTGGGAAGTGGGAGATGATTTGAGATGCCCAGCTGAAACAGACGCAACACAAAGCAGCCTTTATAATATCTACCAATTACTCAAGTAGTTTTAAATCAAAATGCAGTCCAGAGCTGCCTCATAATTAAATTTCATTTCCAGAGAGAGAGGTGTGTGTGTGTGTGTACGTGTACGCACACATTTTGACTCCCTGCACTGCTTGTTTTGTCTTCATATTATTCTATCAGATAATCTTAAGCAAGCTACACCCACTTGGACTGTGTGCTAGCAACATCCTGTTCACTTTAGAACTCTGTATGTACTCGTGTGTGGGAGGAATAAATCCCATTGCCATTCTAGGTCAAAGGAAGTTGAGCATGAGATTTTAATTTAGGCTGCACCTATCAAATTAGTTGTGCAGCAGCAGCAAAGCTGCTGGAACCATTTAAGCAGCCCAATCCCTAATCTCAGGGTTAAATAATTCAGTGGGTCCTATACCAAATTAAGTATGCAAACGTTTGCAACCTTAAAGGGTACATTCTAGCTATCAATATGGAGTGTCCTATGTCCTGGTAGTACCCTCTATGGTCAAGACCATCCAAAGATGGGAAACCACCCCCCAAGGGGCAGTTCCTTCCACTTACATGTTGCATAATTCATTAGGAACGCGCAACTCCTGTTCATTTTGTCACAAAGTGTGTGATTTATGTCAGCTATGCGTGCTGCCCGTACCCCAATAAAACAAAGTCATCTTGTTTCATTTTGCTTGAGAGTCAGAGAATTATAAAATGGTAGAGTTGGAAGGAACTGCAAGGATCACCTAGACGAACCCCCTGCGATGCAGGAATCTTTTGCTCAATGTGGTGCTCAAGCCCACAACCCTGAGATTGAGAGTCTCATGCTGGACCAACTGAGCTACTCTGGCTCTGCCAGTAGGCATGACAGCATCTCATCAGCAACATCAACTTCTGGTGATGATGTACACATTGAGTGTACTCCAAAACAGAAGGAGCAGGTACCACAAGAGGGGCAAACAAGTACTCTGTGCTTCATGTGAAGTGTACTCCGATGCCACTGGAGACAAGGGAAAGCATCCAACACAACTAGCAAGTTACTGTGGATGTTAGCTTCTACTCTGAACTGCTTTTAAGAGATGGCATCATGGAGGCTGGGGTCAATGACTATTTGCTATGCCAGCTAATGGAACCTCCATACCAACGAGACTCCGAGGAAGGGGCAGCCAGAACTATCGTGTTCTGCATGTGGTCTTCTCCCAGACATATAAGCAGAAACTGGATGCTGGACTAGACAGACCTTTGGTTGGACCCAGCAGGGCAACTGTTATGGCTTGGTATTCATGATCAGTGCCTCCAACCACTACCCAAATACCAACAATTGTTATCTTGATACTATGTCTCAGAGTTATGATGAAGGTTGTGTGTATTTCACACAGGGCAATAAACAAACCTACCCCAACATTCTGTACTAAAGAAATGGCACTGATTAGTATGTAAAATTCTGCACATTTACTGCAGAAGAGACACTAAATGTCCATTTCTCCCATAAAACTATTGGAAGAAGTTAGGATACCACACAAGCTAATGGGAAAAGTCCACTGGAGCTGCGTTACCATGTTCATATGTTAGTTAGAGGCACCCAAGAACAGCGGCAAGGCCCACTGTTGGCCAGAAGCAAGACAATGAAGGAGGAGAACCAGGGGGTTTGAAATTTAGACTTTCTCTAAATGAGAGGTAGCAGAGATGGTGGTGGTTGAACACTTGTCCCGAGAAGAGTCCCCGAAGTATTTCTCGGGGTTCAAATCCCTACTGAGCCATGAAACTCACTAGGTGACCTTGGACCAGTCACATACTCTTAGCCTAACCTACCTCACAGGGTTGCTGTGAGGCTAAAAAGAGGACGAGGGAGAACCATGTATACCACCTTGAGCTTCTTGGAGGAAAGGTGGGGTAGAAATAATGAAATAAACGTATCTCAAGAACCTCATTAAGACAAAAGAAAATCGCTTTTCAGCCTAGCTTTTAAGAAGGGGCTTCCTATTTGAAGTGCTCTCAAGAAGAAAACACAGATTTTTCTTTTTTAATTTAAGTGGCAATATTTTAAAACAGAAACCTACAAAAAATAAAAACACAGCAACACAAAAGAATGTCATTTTGTACAAACATGTCATTTGAGGAAAACATGTTACCGTCTCTTCCTATGAGACAATGTCACTTCCATGGACTCTCCACAAATGAGATCCCCATTCTGTGTGGGAAGAAGCTGAAATCCGCTTAACCGCAGGTGTTGCTGGTAAGACAATTAAGGGACTAGAGAGTGAGGTTGTCTTTCACATGTAACAAGTGCAGGTGTCAAGCAATAAAATCCAGAGGTCTGTTGAATCCACCTTTTCTGTTCATGTATTGCCTGCAATGAGAAAAGGCAAACCTTAGCAGTGAACTTTCTTGCTGACCCCTGAAAGTTCTGAACGCCCAGCCCATCTTCCTGATTTTTTTTCTTGGCATTGCCCATCCATTACCCAGAATGCCTTTGCCAGTTGTAAGTGCTGGAATAATTTTAGAAAAATTAATCTCAGTATGTTATTTTTTATATTCTTAATCACAATTCTGTGCTTGTGTGCTAATTAGAATTCATATAAAAAAAGCACACTTGACTTCGAAGCATCTTTATTGGTACTGTTTTTACTTTCTAACTTAGAAATTAATGGTAGCAAAATCCATGAAGTCATTCTCTGTGTGTGGTCCATATGCAATTAAAACAGCACAGCACAACACACACTTACGAGCAGAGATGTCAGTAGGCTTGGGGAAACTCCAAAGTTTAAAGAAATACAAAAAAACATTTTGGAAGAACAATCCTATGTAGGGGATAATGACCCCAAAACAGCCTCTGGGGCCTAAGCATGCTTACTGCTCACAAAATAACTGGAGGGTGTTGGGGGGGGGGCGGGAATGGGAGGGTTGAATGGAATTGAAAAACTGGTATATTGAAAAGAAGCACTCCACACTGTAAACCTTTGTTGCAGATCCCATTTGTAAGGCTAGTAACTCTTACAGATCCTCTGTTTCAATCAGCAAGAACCTCACATGGCAGCAAACTAATTCTACATTATGCAAGGCAACCCTGAAAGGGCAGGAGGCATAGGAAGTCAATCGTGACAGTTTTTTGCTCCTGCAATGGGAAATCATGGTTGCTCTACTGCCACAATTAGGAACTTGTTTATCCACAAGACAGCTCAACATAACAAGTCTGAGAAACCCCAGGATATACTGATTTTCTGAACAAAGTGAAATACTTAGGGTAATCATTTCAGGATTCTATTTAAAAAATGGGGGTTCTGAAGCAATGCCAAAATCTCTTCTTCCAAGTATTCCTGTGAACATAGTGACATCCCCGCCCAACACAAACATGACCTTAGAGCTTCCGCACTCAGGGCCAGTTGGGTCCTAACTGAACAATGCCAACCTGTACTTCCTCTTCTGTGATACGTTGATAGCATAGGCATTTACAGAGCCATCCACTTTCTTGCCCTACAAAACACAAACAGAAATACAAAGTCATCTTCACACAACGTAAGGTGCAGGGAAGCCTGACCAGGGGAAGAGGACAATGACCTGGAGCCTGAATTGCTCCTCTGTTCTTGTAAGGGAGGGGTGATTTTCAGCAACCCCGCCCCCAACTCCATTGGCATTCCCTATGCCATATCCTAGACATCCCCACAACCCTGAGTAATTTTCATGGGGCTGCAGAAGGAAGTGTGAAAGCCCATTTCTGGGAGGAAAGTGAGAATAAAAGCCAATGGAACTTTGGAGGAATGGTAAGACATGAACAAAATAATAATAATAATAATAATAATTTATACCCCGCCCTCCCCAGCCAGGGCCAGGCTCAGAGCGGCTTACAAGCAATAATAAAAACAAGTTGAATGATTACAACTTAAAAACAAAATTAAAATACAACATTAAAATATTGAAACATTAAAATATTAAAATGTAGCCTCATCGCAGGAGGAAAAGGAAAGGAAAGAAGAAAGAGAGGGAGGGAATCAAATTGGCTCCAAGCCAAAGGCCAGGTGGAACAACTCTGTCTTACAGGCCCTGCGGAAAGAAATCAGATCCTGCAGGGCCCTGGTCTCATGAGGCAGAGCGTTCCACTAGGCCGGAGCCAGTGTTGAAAAGGCCCTGGCTCTGGTTGAAGCTAATCTAACTTCCTTAGGGCCCGGGACCACTAGGGTGTTGCTATTTATGGACCTTGAGGCTCTCCGTGGGGCATACCGGGAGAGGCGGTCCCGTAGGTACGAGGGTCCTAGGCCGTGAAGGGCTTTAAAGGTCAAAATGAGCACCTTAAACCTGACCCTGTACCCCACCGGGAGCCAATGCAGCTGGAAAAGCACTGGTTGAATATGCTCCCATGGCAGAGACCCTGTGAGGAGTCTCGCTGCAGCATTCTGCACCCTCTGGAGTTTCTGGGTCAGCTTCAAGGGCAGCCCCGCATAGAGCGAATTACAGTAGTCAAGCCTGGAGATGACCGTCGCATGGATCACTGTGGCCAGGTCGGGGCGGGAAAGGTAAGGGACCAAAAGCCAATCATATCTTGCTCTTTACTCTTTTTTGCAGTTGCTTTTGGGAAATATGTCTAGGCAGAGTTCCTAAACACAATGCCAATGTAATGCTTCCATGAGTTGTTTCCAAGCTACCTGGAAGCTCCTGGGAACTTGTACGACGTGTTTCAAGTCTGGAAGCCCCTTGTAGTGTAGAAGATTTGGGAACATGTTCCAGGGGCTGAGTATCAGTGGTGGGTAGGACCACCTCATAGTTCCCACAACACACACACTCTCTCCATCATTTACATGCGCTCTCTCTGCCACAATTTTTTTTATGGGGGAGGGGGGGAGGAAGCCTCCTATTGAAGCCAGTAGGAGGCTTCTTCAGGCTAAACTGCTGTACTGGGTGGGCAAGGAGAAGAGGCTGCAGGCCAGATGGGGAGGTCCCTTGGGCTGGAGGTTCTTCACTCCTGTCCTAGAATCTAGTGCAAAGGCCTAAGGCCAGGCCTACTGGAGCTCAACCTTGCCTTGTGTGGATGGACAAACTATAGAACAAGCCTGAATCCTCCCCAGTAGCTGAGCAAGCTGCCTTTCTGTCATTTCTGTTCCGCCATTAAGAACACTAAAAGACCATTTGGAGTCACCATTTCTAAATGGCTGGCGAGGAAAACTCAAGACCATGGTCTGATTAAGTGAGGAAGATCTAAACTTGCCAGAAATGGTTTTCTGTTTAACCTACAGTGTGCTGCAAAAGGAGATGTTGCTATTATAAAATAATAATAAACAACTCTTTGCATTCAAGATTTGCCAAGGTAATCCAAGCCCTGTGCCCTGCAAAAGGTTACACATACTGAATAAAAAAAGCTTCGCTTCTTACTTTGCTATTCATGAGAGAGGCAAGCAGCTGCATAGAGTATGAAAGCCAGATTGCCCCCAATCATATGGAATCTTCTGAAGTCTCACTAGTCTTGCTCAAACACATTCAAGCACCACTCTATAAAAAACTTGCAGTGTTAGAAACCTGCCCCCCTTTTTAACAAAAAGGAAGGGATTCTCAGGAAGATGAATTCTGCATCCACTACCACATGGTGTGGATTTTCTGTCCCAGTGCACAGAGTGGTTCAAATCTCACTCTTAGGAATTCTGGGCACTAAGAAGACACTCACCTTTGTCGTGTCAAATGATGCAAATCCCATCATTTTCATCATTTCAATTTCTTCTTCTGTCTTACCCTCCAGGTCTTCCTCTGAAAAAGAAGCCAAGACAAAACAAGGAGATAAAATGAAAGAGAGTTAAAGATAAATAATGCCACAGAACCATCCTCAAACAGCATATTTCTAAGATTCTGACTATTACAATGGTGAAACACCATTGGCCTTGCTAGGAATAAATAAAAGATATTATATTTAAGACATTTCCTGGCAGCAGTCTGGATATAGACTGCATTCTTATGGAGAAGTGATTGTTTGTTAACTATGCAAAACTGGCATGATAGGGTTTGGAAGATGGTGCTCATAAACAAACTAATACAACACTGCAGAGTAGTCAGAGGTGACTATTTCCAGAGATAAATTTTATAGCTTGGTCTTTCTTCAATCCTTTCATTAATTCCTCATCAGAAGAACCCAGACCATACTCTGTTCAATTTTCTTTTGGGGGAGTTACCCTGAATTTTATTTCAATATTCTGGATTTTATTTGTTTGGATATCATGTCACTGACTCTCACCAAGGTTTTTGCTAACTTTGCAAGTCTGCTGTCGTAATTTATCTTTTCTATTTGGCATTTATATACATATATTCTTTCTAACATGTGTAATAAGGACACAGTTCACCTATGTATCTCCTTCCACCCCAACATGATTTTTGGAATGTTTTGATTGTTTCATATCAGTTTGTTTCGTCTGCTGTGTTCTGCCACTTTTGATTTTATACTATCAATGTGTTATGTATTTTTATTCTTTGGTTGGTAAACAATTCTGAAAGTACAGTGGTACCTCGGGTTAAGTACTTAATTCGTTCCGGAGGTCCGTACTTAACCTGAAGCACCACTTTAGCTACTGGGGCCTCCTGCTGCTGCCGCGTTGCCGGAGCACGATTTCTGTTCTCATCCTGAAGCAAAGTTCTTAACCTGAAGCGCTATTTCTAGGTTAGCGGAGTCTGTAACCTGAAGCGTATGTAACCCGAGGTACCACTGTATTTCTATTGAAGAGGGTGTCAGCCATCCAAAACAAAAGGCTAACCCTTCCAACTCTTCAAAAAAGCCACACCTCAAGGACCCAGTATAGTTCCACGTAAAATGTTGTCGAACAAGTGTTTAGAAAAACACAACATCCTATCAACAACTGTGGATTTTTTGGTGTGTGAAGAGATGATATATTTGAGAAACAAAGGTGCCTTTATTGGCACAACAAAGGATTATATGGACCCTCAGACTCAGTGCAACACATGAGCTACAGGCTCTCAGTAACAGAGGCAGGATATGTCCTCACCAACAGAACCAGAAACACATCAAGTCAAACAAACCTTGCCCAAAAGGCAAGACCCTTCTCACATTAGCAAACTACCCCTCCCCTATAAATCTGACCACAAACTAGAATGCCAAAGTTAATAAGGTGCATCATGACACATAATTCTCCAGCATGGCTTGCAATACCCCAAGCTGTTTCATTACCTGTGATCTGACGCTCTTTGCCTTTAGCATCTTTGGTCTCTTTCTTCTCATCATCTCGCCTTTCTTTCTGCCGGGAAGGGGAAGAAGAGCTGGATCTATGTCGTCGTGGAGATCTAGAGAGTCAAACCAGAGCAGGTTGCACTTGAATGGCAAGGGAAAGGTGTGCTTGCTGGATTATGCTACACACAAAAGAAGAAGCACCAGCACACTTGCTGATTTTTTTTGTGAAAACACAGAACAAAACCATCACAAAATCCCACACTTGGCTTTGTGGGCGACACCATGTCTGTGAGCAAAGAACTGTCAAGTACCTGCAATGCTCTGTCCACCTCAGTCAAGGAAGTGTAAGGCTTCCTCTGCCAGGCAGCCACAAAGAGGGAGAGAGGTGCCACCACACCTACCTCCTTTAGAAAGGTAATTCATAGGGATCTTGTCAGGATGAAACAAGGCAAGCTCTGCCATGTCAACACCTATAACCAAGGAGAGGCTGCAGGAGGAAAGATGGAAGGAAAGGCTGGGTTTTTAAAGCAGAGTACAAAGAAGCACCCATGCCTGCTCCCCCTTTCTCCTACCATTTATTAAACAACAGTATAGATATGGTAGTCTATTGCAGGAGAAGGGTTCAGAACAACAGAAAGGTGCTATGGAAGAGGATAGGGGAAGAATATTCTCTACAAAGCAAATGGAGGGGAGTTGCAGGTCTACAGAGAAAGGAGAACCCTGTGACCATCAGCTCACTCTGAATGCAGAAAAAGCTTGTGTTTAGCTACACTCACATCACTCAAGCAGGTGAGTTCAGCTGCCTAGAAACCATCTGTTCAACCTTAAAAACAAATCCTTTCTCATTGTTAAACATCACAGCAAAGCCACTGCTAAAGGTGGGATAGAAAGGAGCTAATATGGTTAGAGCTATCATGAGAAGGGACAGAAACAGCTGAACTGCCAGGACCAGATGCTGGCCCTATTCTTTTAAGAGAAAACACTAAGAGGGCCTCCATACATCCTTTAAAATTACCTTAGGTAGAGTAGTTAACTGGGTCATAATTTCCTGCAGTTCGGGGGAGGGCAGTTGCTTTTTTTAAAAAGCAAACTACCCACTCATCTTTTCCAATATTTGCTAATGGCAAGAGCTAGTAGCCCGCTCTGTCTCACACACCCATTGCCTACAAGAACAGTGTTTACAGAACAAGTTCACCAGAAACTTTAGAGCTACTATCTGATGATACCTCCTCACCTGGATCGTCGCCTGTGTGGGGAACGGGAACGGCTTCTCCGCCTGTCTCTCTCCCGAGACCTTGATCGCTCCCGTCTTCTCCTCTCCCTCTCACGTGAGGTGGATCTGGAACGCCGACGTTCTTAAAATACAGAGCAAGCAACTTTAGTTGCATATTGAATTTCATTTCTAAAGTACAGCTTTCCTCCTACAGTAACATACTATATACACCGACTGGCTTCAACAAACCAGTGTATTTTTCAGTCTCAGTCCTACATCTTAAAAGTTTGCTCCATTCTGTATCCTGCAACCTCCTTCCTTTCAAAGAGGTAAAGGCAACATAAGGCGGGTCCCATTCTGTCTTCAGATGCTGTGCTTGATTTACAGGGGGCACTTAGTGAACTCCACTAGCTCCACACCTATACATCTCTGAGTTCTAGCCAAGTTAAAACATACTCCAAGAGCATTCTGCGCACACTGCCTTCCACAGCAAAACAACCATATTTGCTCCGGTGGCTTTTTACATACTGATAGATACGGTGCTTAAAAAAAATCTCATAAGCATGAAATAGGCATCTGCCTTCAAGGTGCATCTAATCTAAAATCTGTTGGGGGAGGGGGAGCCAGAGTGAGAACTTAACAAAAGCCCTTCAGTTGGATCAGACCAAAAGCCTGTCTAGTCCAGCATCCTCTTTTCTTACACCAGCCAAAGGCCCAAAGCTGGAATGTTAATCTAGCCACCAACAGGCTCATCCTGCATGAGTTTATCCAGGCTTCTTAAAAAAAAAAAAGTCAATGGAGATAAATGTAACTTCTCTAAGTAAGAGCCAGTGTGTGCGCAGTGGTTAGGGTGCTGGATGTTAGAGAGCACGCCAGGTAATAAATCAAATTATTAGGCCAGCAGAGCCCCAGGTTTATATATCCTGTCAGATATAGAACAAATAAGAATGAATTTGGGCCAGTTATAATCTCTCAGTCTAACCTACCTCACAAGAGTTGCTGTGAGGATAAAAATGGAGGGTGGTAGTGGTGGTGGTAGAGAACCACGGACACCACCTCCTTTATGTATTGCACAAAACGTATATGCTGCTTGACTGTAAGGAGCCACAAAGCAGAAAACATTGATATCTTACTGGTTCCACACAGTATCTGTTCTGCATCTACAGCAGGGCTAGTTCCACAAAGTGGTTGAGAGAGAGCTATTCCTTTCTTTTTTACTGCGTTCCTAGCCCACCGTTCCTCCCAAGGAGGCCAGCATGGTTCTCCCCCTCCCTATTTTATCCTCACAGCAGCCTTGTGAGGTGGGTTGGGCTGAGATGCAGCGACAGGCCCAAAGGCCTCCAGTGAACTTCATGGGCGGCTGAATTTGAACCCTGCCTGCCTCGCAGCTCCGCAGCCCCTCACTAGCCCCACCGCCCTGCGAGAGGAAGGCGCCCCTCGGGGACTCAGTTCGGCCTCGATCCGCGGGGATCTCTGCCTCCCAGGCCAAGAGAGGCGAGGCCTGCCTTGGGCTCCCACAACCCGCCCTCCCTCCCACCGGCCTGCAGCTGCTTCCTTCTTTCCCGAAGGAGAAACCTTCCAGCCAAGGTTTCGCCCGGGCAGCTGGGAAGGAGGACGAGGCCTCCCGGAAGGGCGGCGAAGAGGAGGAGCAGCAGGACCCCAGGACCGGGACCGGGACCAGGACCGAGACTACGCACCCCTCCGCGGAGGAGACCGCGAGCGACTCCGGCCCATCTCCCCTCCCGACGCCGAGCTCTCCTTCTCCCGCTCCCCCGCAGCCTCCGCAGCGGAGCTTCCGGCGGGACGGTCCGTCTCCTCTTCAGCTCCGGCTAGGAACACGCCGGGAGGAGGCTTGGGTTCCGCGCCGGGGATTGGCCCCCCCGGATCCTGCTGGCCAATCGGCGGGAGGGGGCGGGGAGAGAAAGGGCCGCTGCCCCATGGAGAGCCTGGCCAGAAATGGCGGGGAGAGATTGCAAGAGATCAGTTCCAAGGAGGGGCAGGGAATGGAGGAGCTGCCTGGAACAGCGTGAGGCCCGTTGGGTTGCCCAGCTGAGTCTGGTTTCCAGGGTGAAGCTAGAGAAGGCAGGACTGGCCGCTTGGAGGATTGACCCCCTTGGACCAGCCTCCCCTTCCCATTGGCAGAGCCTGACACCAGAGAAAGTGGAGCAACATTCCTGGACTCCAGCCTGATACTCACCTGAGAAGGTGGAAGCTGGTTTGGACTCCCAGGCTTGGTGTGACCCATGGAAAGCACAGAGCCGGGTCTGGACTTGGCTCAGAAAGAGCATGAGATGAGGTTTGAAACTGGAGAAATCTCTTCAGTTCAAAGACTTAGGGGCCTCAATAAATACAGTGGTGCCCCGCTAGACGAAAGGGTTTTCCATTTTGGAGGTGCTTCGCAAAACGAATTTCCTATGGGCTTGCTTCGCAAGACGAAAATGTCTTGCGAGTTCCTGCGGTTTCCCCCCCTTCCCCCCCCTTTTCCCCAAGCCGCTAAGCCGCTTAACAGCTGATCCGCTAAGCCGCTTATCAGCTGATCCGCTAAGCTGCTTATCAGCTGATCCCCTAAGCCGCTTAACAGCTAAGCCGCTAAGCCGCTTATCAGCTGATCCGCTAAGCCGCTTATCAGCTGATCCGCTAAGCCGCTTAACAGCTGATCCGCTAAGCCGCTAATGGGCTTGCTTCGCAAGACGAAAAAGCCGCAAGACGAAGAGACTCACGGAACGGATTCTTTTCATCTTGCGAGGCACCACTGTAAATGAAAAAAGCTTATTTGGACGAGCAAAGGATTTTTATTATATTAATTTAGTCTCCCCACCCCGATACATAGCGGAACAAAGAAAAAATAAAGAATTTGTGATCGGCTATGGTCACCTCTAATCAGGTGTTAGGTGGTATTGGGGTGATCCGACCGCTGCAGTGTCGAAGCAGCTCTTTGTTGGCAACCTTCGCAGCGCGGGATACGGTCGCGTCTGAGAGAGAAACTGAGACCAAGAAGGAAGGAGGTCTTGGGAGAAAGCAGGCAAGCAGGAGGAGCGTTGGCCTGATCCAGTAGGACTCTGCTGCGTGGAGAGGGCCGTGCAAATCCCCACCCGTCTCCTCAGCGCGCTGTTCCGGAAGCCCCATATATATTTTCTTCTTGTTTAGCGCTCACCACGTCAGGTTGCATATACTGTGCACATTGGCTCCCAGTACGTTTCTGAGCACAATTCAAAATGTTGGTGCTGACCTTGAAAGCCCTAAACAGCCTCGGCCCAGTATACCTGAAGGAGCGTCTCCACCCCCATCGTTCTGCCCGGACGCTGAGGTCCAGCGCTGAGGGCCTTCTGGCGGTTCCTTCATTGCGAGAAGCCAAGTTACAGGGATCCAGGCACAGGGCCTTCTCGGTGGTGGCGCCCGCCCTGTGGAACGCCCTCCCATCAGATGTCAAAGTGATAAACAACTACCTGACATTCAGAAGACATCTTAAGGCAGCCCTGTTTAGAGAAGTTTTTAATGTGTGACATTTTAGTGTATTTTGGGTGTCTGTGGAAGCCACTCAGAGTGGCTGGGGAAACCCAGCTAGATGGGCGGGGTACAAATAATAAATTATTATTATTATTATTATCATTATTATCATTATTTCATTTCGTTATATATTGTTTCCCAAAATTGTTTGATGTTTAAACAATTCCACCATATATGTATCATAGTACCTTTTCCGGTGTTGCATCACCAGCAGACATCGCTACAATTTTTATTCATTTTTGCTATTTTTTCAGGTGTTAAATACCATCTATGTTGTATTTTGAGGTAATTTTCTTTCAATATATAACACATAGTGAATTTCATATCTTCTTTCCACAATTTTTCCCATTGCTCAAACATAATATTTTTCCCAATATCTTGTGCCCATTTAATCATTGATGCTTTAACCAATTCATCCTTTGTTTCCCACTCTAAGATCAGATTATACAATTTAGATATATTTTTTTATTTTTCTTGTATTAAGTATTTATCGAATTTTGATATTTATTTTTCAGATCCTAACTTTTTGTCTTTCGCTAATCTGTACTTAATTTGAATATATTGGAACCAGTCACTAATATGAGCTTTAATTTCTGTATAATCCTTTAATTCCAATTCTCCATTTTCTTCCTTTAATACAATTTTATAGGTAGCCCAATTTTCTTTCATATTTAATTTTTTCACTACGACAATTTCTGCTGGCGATGCCCACCAAGGAGTTTTCGGTTCTAGGAGTCTTTTATATTTCTCCCATATTTTATATATAGACTTTCTGACTATATGCCCTAGGAAGCCTTTATGTACTTTGACTTTTTCATCTATTAGATAGGCATGCCATCCAAATCTCGTCTCTACTCCCTCTGAATCCAATACATCCAAGTCATCTAATTGGATCCATTCTCTCCTTCTTATCTATCATTATTTTGTGTTTTATTCTTGGTTTTTTCCCTGACCACACAAATTTAGCCAAATTTTTTTCCCAATTATTAAAACATTTATCTCCTCCTAGTATTGGGATACTTTGAAATAAAAACATCATCCTTAGTAATATGTTCATCTTTATTACTGATATTTTCCCTAGTAAGGAAAGATTTAATTTCCCCCATACTTGCAAATCATTTTTTATTTCATTCCATGTTTTCCCATAGTTCTCATTACTTAAATCTATAGTATTTATTGTTAAATTTATTCCAAGATACCTTATTTTCTTTTTAATTTCCAATCCTGTAATTTCTTGTAATTTCACTTTATCTTTTTCTTCCATATTTTTCACTCGTATTTTGGTTTTCCCATAGTTTAATTTGAATCCTGCTAATCTGCCATATTCGTTTATACATTCCAATATTCTAGGTGTGCATTGTAGGGGATTTTCTGTTGTGATCATAACATCATCTGCAAAGGCTCTTAACTTGTATCTTTTTTCACCAACTACTATTCCTCTTATTTGGTTGTTCTGCCTTATTTTCTTTAATAGAACCTCTAAAACTATTATAAATAACATTGGGGATAGGGGGCATCCTTGTCTTGTACCTTTAAAGATATTGATTTCTTCTCCAAACTCTCCATTAATAATAATTTTTGCTTTCTGTTGGTTATATATTGCATTTATACCTTTTTGGAATTTTTCACCTAGACACAATTCTTTTAATGGTTTTTCATAAATTCCCATGAGATTTCATCGAAAGCCTTCTCCGCATTGATTGAAATCAGGGCTGCTTGTTTATCTCTTCTTACTTGTAGATATTCCATTATGTCTATTATATTTCTAATATTCTCCTTTATTTGACTTCCTTCCACAAATCCAGCCTGATTTTTATATACTATTTTTCCTATAATTTTTTTCAACCTGTTAGCCAATAATCCTGCATAAATTTTATAATCCGAATTTAACAACGAAATGGGTCTATAATTTGAGACAGATTCCAAGTCCGTACCTTGTTTGGGCAGGAGCGTTATATACGCTTGAGTCCAAGAGTCTGGAATATTCCCCTTCTCTACCGCATCCTCTATTACTTCTTTTAGTGGGTCGATTACGCTAATTCATTTAACATTTCTTTATAGTATTCTGCTGGTATGCCGTCTGGACCTGGGGATTTCCCTATTTTTAATTTTTGAATTGATTCCTTAATTTCTATGGTTGATATTGGTTCATTTAATAATTTATGGTCTTCTTCTGCTATCTCTATTAATTTATTTTTTTTCTTTATATATTCCTCTATTTCTTCTATTGACACTTCATCTTTTTGATATAATTTTTTATAATATTTTTCAAATTCTTTTTTAATTTCATTTCTGTCATATCCCATATTGTCCTCTCTTCTACTTTTATCTTATTTATTATTTTTTCATTTCTTTGTTTCTTTAATTGCCAGGCAAGGATCTTGCCTGGTTTATTTGCCCATTCAAAATTTTTATATTTCCAAAATTTGATTTGTTGTTCTACCTCCTGTTCTATAATTTTATTGTATTCTGCTCTCAGTAATTTAATTTCTTGATTTAATCTCTCTTTATTTTTGCTTGCATAGGCCAATTTTTCCTTCCTTTTAATTTCTTCTAAAAGCTCCCTTTTCTTTTTTTCTTTATTCTTATATGCTATTGAGTTTTATTGTATGAAATATCCCCTAACAACTGCCTTCCCAGCATCCCACACTGTTTTTACATCTGTCTCTTTCCTCCAATTGTTTTCAAAATATTCCTTCATCAACTTTCTGGCTCCTTGTATTACTTTTTGGTTTTTAAATAGGAAAACATTCATTCTCCACCCTTTTTCCCTTTCTCCTCTTTTCCTTTAAGAGTTAATGATACTGGATTGTGATCTGTAAGTGTTTTTGGTAATATTTCGGCATTCTCTGCTTTAATTGTCATATCCTTAGTAATCCATATACTGTCGATTCGACTATACGAATTTTTTGGTTCTGAAAAATATGTGAACTCCTTTTCGACAGGATATTTATATCTCCATATATCCACTAAATCAAAGGATATCCGGAAGGATATTGATTTGGCCTTTAGTGCTTTTGTTAGAAATTGGAATTGCTGTCTCTTTTTTATCAACGTGGGTGGGACTTCTCGTAAAATTATTATTTCTTTTCCATCTATGGTTAACTTGTTCTTACTTTTTTCTTGGAGGATCTTATCTTTCATCCAATTCGATGTGAATACAATGATGCAGTCTGCCAGCAATTTGTTCATTTTTGCTTTTCTTGAGTTCACTCTGAAGATTTTCTCTGTCTGTTCTATTATGTCTTTCTCCTGTAATTGTAGCCACTTTGCTAAAGTTTCAATCATCTTCTTCCAAATATCCTCCCTCTCCTCTTCTGGAACATTTCTGAATCT